CTGCGTGCTTCTTTCCCTCCCTTCTTCCCGCCCTCCCTCCCTCCCTCCCTACCACCCACAGCCGAGCTCCACGACCCTGGCACCCTTCAGCTCCCTCCGGTAGGTGCGGTGCAAGTATTCGGCGGTCCACAAGGAGACAGGCCAGACCATCGTCCCTATTTAAGAAAGAAAGGGGGCTGATAAATGACGACGATGATAAAATCTACATGGCCGGAAAACACTCACATACGGGTGGTTTTTGCGAGGGAAAAAAAGGGACCGGCTTTTTCAGGGAGACTCACCAGGCCAATACGCGCCATCAAACAAGGGTGCCAATTCGTCCTCCTCCTGTGTACATGTGGCGCGTCCGTGAGCCCCTCCTAACCATGAACTCGCCCTCTCGATTTCATTTTAAGGCCTCCACGCATCATAAAATGCGCCTTTGTCAATGTCATGTCCCTTTCCTTCACTGATTTTTACTACACTAGACCTCTAGAAGTCTAGCACTCCTCCTCACCCTCTGTTCGACCCTCTTATCCTCCCAAATTTTCTTACCAAGAGAGTTCGAAAGGTCAACCGCCTCCTCTCGTATTCCACCACCACTTTTTCCTCCACAACCATGGCTCCTTTCTCACCATCGCGTCCTGCTCCTCCATCCATTCCCTCTTCTTTTATTACTCGAATGACATCGGACTCGTACCCCTGTGGTGGCCAGTCGCATGTGACTTCTTGGGGTGGGCGGCTGCTATGGCCTTCCCGACCTCCTCCCTCCCAGGCTTGGCTTTCCCTTCTTCCCCAAGCCTCCGAACCGACACCAATGTCATCTTCCGGGGTTCTCATCTGGTCACCGTCGCCCATGTGTGTTCTTCAAAGCCTCACCTGTGGAGGCATAGTGTAAATTGTGGGTGCTCTTATACTTGCAATAAGGGAGAGCTCCGGGTAGGTTATTCGGGAGAGGCAGGGAGAGGGCATCTTGCAGCTTTAAGGCCCATTATGGTTTTTGAATTGGTGCAATGTATCCATGGAGAGATAATTTAAATCATATAAGACATTAGAAGGATGAGTGGCTTCCCTAGTGCCCCATGCGTCGCTATCTTTCGGACAAGAGCATTGAGTTGCTCCGCCACAAAACTTCGGTCAAGCCGTGTCTCATCGAGGGCACGGCCGGACAGTCTCAAGGTGAAGTTGTCACCAGGAAAGCGACATGCGTTCCCCAAGAAACTTGTATGTCAATAGTGACTACAACCTGGAGCATTCAAAACCGCAAATGGACCTCAGACGGGATCCTGCATGCACGCTTATAAGACTGCAAATTATCCGACCTAATTAAAACGGACAGCGAAAATTACTTTATCATGCATACGCTTTCTTATTTTCTTTCATATACTCAGTAGTACCATTCGTGTTCTTTGGTGCGGCAGCTTCAATCCACTTAAGTATCAGTCTCTTGACCCTCTGCTGTCGTATCAAGCGATGTGGCTTTGCCCGGGACACCGATAGCATCTATTTCACAAGCGAAAGTCAAATCAGTGCCGATCTCGTATTGCTAAGAAGAAGCAAGGGTACAAGGAGGATGGAAGCAGTAAGAAGAGGGAAGATTTGTGAGTTAGAATTCTCTCCACCAGAGTCCCGCCGGTCCCGACCAAAGAAGTCACCCCATGCATGTCTTTCTAAAAACGAGGGAGACATGAAAAGAAAAGGCGTAAGAAAAGTGGAATTAAGAGCGGTTAGGAGAAATACCTTTGCCAACTCCTCTGTGCTTTGGGGCACCTTCATCCTGAGCTTGCGTTCATTGGCGGGAAAGTTCTCCAAGCCGTGCATCTCCATGGCCGTTCGGCAGGCGTCCATGATGGAAGCCTGCGGGGTAATAACCCGGGAGGGCAAGAAGGGTAATAGGCGGGTTAAAGGGGAGTCAAATGACAATGAGGTGGATTACCAATTTGTGGCGTAGGGCAGACATATATCTATGCGCCTCATATGACACAGAATCTCATGAATTTGAAGCGTCGCGATCGAGGTATTTGATACACGACAGACACGGTCAAAAGCACCCCGACCAAGCTGCAAAAGGCAACGTACCGTAACAGCGCTAAGTTTCACACCCACCAACGCATGGGGGGGCATGATACCCTTCCGAAAGCCCGGGAAATTGGCGTTCAGGGTCCCGGCTGTGACGTGAGAGGATACAACAAGACGAATAAGAGGGCAAGGGATGACCCTCCTCCATCAAACAGTCCAGAAAATCAACAAGAGAAGAAAAGAGTCGAGCGACTGAGTATTCAGCCTACTTGGAGCACCTCTTTCGCCCTGCTTTCGTACCTTTCAATGCCTGGTTGTACGTTTTCTTCACGTCTGGCCCATATATCTCGGCTTCCACCAAATAGCCACAGACAGGGCGCTCGGCGGAGGGGTCTTCAACCGATACTCTGCATGAAAAGACGTCATCATGAAGAAATGATGACATTCGTTGTAAAAAAATAAGTTGAAACGTAAAAATCTGACACCACTTGAGGACGTATTATGCGGGTATAGTGTAATTTGGCCACGACATGCCTTACCTTGTAACTTTCAAGGTGGGATCCAGGGTGGGTAATATTTCTCCGATTACATTCTGTATTGTACTGCGTAAACAAACCACAGATCGCTGGTTTGGCGTTGCTAAGGGGGAAGAGAGGACGAAGGCGACAGTCACCGGGGGGAAGAGGAGGTTGAAAAAGATGACCAGCAGGACAGGAAAGCTACATGCGGGCATCCTTTGAGCACTCGGCAGGCTATAAATGAAGATAGTTGAGAGGAATGTGGATTTCGTGATAAGCGATATCCCGTACGTGTCGTAATGGATGTAGAGTATCGTTCTATTTCAAGGCCGTCCATCCATCGTGACGCCATCCACGATACGCTCCGGCACGATCTCCCATGACCCTGAACTTTCTCCCATAGTTTAGGTCAGCACATTCATCACCGCGGCTTTGGAGACGATAGGAGTTTGTTGCCGTAGTGCCCTCGCTTGTTCCCTACGTGTGCGAAGCAGAAAATGTGGAAAAGTCTTGTGCCCGGCCTTCGCGGAGAAATGGAAAATGTGACAGTTTCCTGATTTGAATGCTTTATGCTTTCACCGATCAAGTGCATGTTCATTCTATATTTCCCCTAATTCTCGGAATTATGTGTACGATAGGCGTGTCAGTTGCATTCCGTCTTCTCTACACATTATACCCTTCCTGCTAGTATGATTAAAAATTTTGCTATAACGTAAAATTCCACTACAATGTCAGATGAAGCTGCATTCAAGAATTAATATAAGATTTTATGTGAACGAAACGAGTCAGATATTGAACAAGTGTAATGCCTTTTTCTCAGTCGCTTGTATGTAGCATTTCTTATAAGACAAAGACACTTGTGACATTTTTTGGGGCCTCGAGGGCAAAAATGTTCAAGACAAATTGTAATATTTTGCCGGAGAAAGGAAAGTGTAAATATCTCAAAAGTCTCCACTTTCACTCTATCCAGGTCTCGGGATGGCTACATCTTCACAAGCCTCCACAACTCACTGTGCAAGATCGAATTTATCTCAAGCTTTTTTTAAACCATAAGATGTGCTTGCACACTTTGTCTGGCACCACGAAAACGCCGCATTCTCCGTCTCTGCTGTTTCGTCGGTGTATTATCGTAAGCCCGGCTCCCCCAGTACAAACGCTTGCCAATCCGGATTCCGTTGGACGTATGGGAAGTTCTAAAAAGAGAGGAAGAAAAATTAAAAAAGTAGCGTGAGGAGGAGAAAGAGATGGCGCTGCTAATTAAGTAGGACACCCAGGAGTCTGTGTTGCTGTGGTCTTGGTTTTCCCCATGCTTACCTGTAGTCTCTGCATGTAGGCGTCCAATGCTGCGCGCCTCTCCTCCAGGAAGGAGGGGGAAGTGTGCGCCGTGAGGGCTTTCAGATATTTGGGAGGAAGACGAGGGAGGGAGGAAGCAAGGTGGTGTCCCCAAAAGTAAGACCGAATCTGAAAAGGGAAAGAAAGGAGGGCCGCATTTGAGGATTTTGAGGAGGAAGGCATAAGAGAGAGCGACATGTCGAACCTAGGACGACAAAGGTGAGGAAGGGATGGGATGGACGCCTGTAACAAGACCACGCAGGACACCTGCTCGATCCTTTCGTATCAATCTCGACGTCCGTTTCACATACTTTCACATCCAGTTTGTCAAAGTCTCGGAACCGAAACCGGTGTTCCTTTTCCTTGGGACCCGCCCTCCCGTTCGCTCCTTGCTCTCCTTCCTCGGCTCCGGTTCCCTCCGTCGCGGCCCACCGCGTCTTCAGTGTGTAGAAAGCTCCCACTTTCGCTTTTCCACCGGACCTGACGACGCCTCGAGAAGATGATTGCAGTAGGGTTTCCTCCTCCTCTTCCTCAACCTCATCTTCCAGTTTATCCTCCCTCGTCTTCCTTTTTTCTCTGTCATCTCCTCCCTTTTCAGTGTCCAATGGCAACAAAGCTACAGAAGCTACCGTCACGCTTTCTATGGACAAATTTTCTGATAAACCCACTGGCTGCCTTCCTCCCTCTCCACCGTCCGCTTGCTCTGTGTCGCAGGCCCATGGACGACCTCGAATAACCAGCGAATAGGAAGTGAGCCCTAATGGTTGGGAAATGTTAAAGGTGTATATCAATAAAATGGAGATGAAAAGTGCGCGTGCGTGTGGTGATGGAAATCATGCGCTGTCGATTCCTTTGCGACTGACCAGGGTAGTCAACGACGGTGAGCTCACACGGCACTTTTCCTTGAAGAATTTCGAAGGATACGATTCCCCCGCTGTCAATACGGTCGATGGAGTGGTGAACAATTTGCCCTGTTCAAACGGGGAGAAAAAGAAAGCGAATTATGTAAATTTTCGGGATGGGAAAAGCCTTGCACGCAGAACGTCGAGAAGACGCTGTCAGGGTACGGTAGCATTTTTTTTAGTTCTTTGGTCGTTTACGTACCGTCGACATATATGATCTTTTCACCCTTATGGCGATGATGCCTGTCAGGGTGATTGCCAAGTGAGAATTTGCTATCTTTCATTTTTCTTACTCAATCCTTGTATCTCAATACGTATCCTTCAAAACGTGCCGCCTCCCTTACCGTAACATGATTAGGACTTCCATCTCTTGTCCATTAGCTCTATAAGGGTAGCGCCAAATTCTTGTGACTAACCCAGAGAGTGTGGCCTTAGTCGGTGGTTGGTTTCCCATCTTGGACTGGCCTGTCCAAGGATGAATGCAGGAACACAAAGGGATGCATTAATGTTGCATGCGTACCTACCGCTGCCCATGCCGTCATTTTCGGCCCAAATTTTCAAACTACATACAAGATGCATAAGTCGATCAATGGACCCTCAACCGTCCCACGCTATGACCCCGTCTTGACGATGCACCACGCCTTGCCACCTGCTTTGGTTTAGCCGTTAGCGACCGTTTACGACGGTTTAGAGCCCTCGCTTTGGAGTCGAGTCTTCCCTTTTCCAAACCCTCACGCCGAAAGGGCAATGACCAGGAACTGATTGTCGCCTCCACTTCCATAGTGTAATTTTTCACGTGTATTCAATTATATGAATCACTCCAATAGGCCAGAAATTGCAAATTTGAACCCACCCGCCAGCGGAGCTTTCACCCGCGTCACGGAACGAAGCTAGCGTCCGAAGCCCGACTTTTATCACATATGGGCCAAAACTTGATAGCATCCATCACGCACGTAAATGTGGGTGATGTTGTTGCCATTATTGTCTTGCTTGCCTTTTTCTGGCTGGATTATGCGCAGGTCAGGAGCAAAGAAAATGTAATCGACTTTGATAGGTCTTAACCACCTCCTAACCTTTTCCGGTCCCTGCCTTTCCGTGGAAATCATCTCGTCAGGATTGGTTTACGTATAACAAGGATTGGATACATCAGCTAGCCCCTGAAAAATCCAAAGGTTTACTTATTGCGTCCAACAGCGGTCGAAAGAGCGAAGAACTCAGCCAAAAACCGAGGACGGAAAGCGATGTGGAGGAGATTCATATAAAAGTCCTCCTTCTTCGGCTTCGTCGACCCCAACCAACAGAAGCAGGACAGAGGGCAAGATTGGGGGCGGAGGACGCAGACGAAAGAAAGTCTCCTCACTACCTCCGGTTTTTCCCACTCCCTCCTAAGGAAGTCGTCCCGTCCACGGCCTCCAGGCATGAGGGCAGGTGAGATCAGCATGGACGGTGTAGAGTCCATATACAGACTCATGTTTTGGTGTTTCGACTATTCGCCTCTTATTGTGTGACTAGACCGGTCTTATCAATGATTAAAAAGCGAATATTACCTTTCTGTCACCGATCCTCCTCCGATACCTACCCGGCTCCCTTAATCGGCTTCTCTTGACTTTTAATCTAGTGCTTATTTTTAACCACACGCTTCCTAGAGCATAAACTCCTAGTCATACGGATCTTTGTTTCCTAATTTGTGTTTTAAATCCCTACGATCACAGCGGCACGGGGAGTGGATCCTTGGGGAGGGAGAGGTGGCGCCCCCGACGGTTGAGGATAGAGGTCTGGGAGGAGGAGGAGGGAGAGGAGGGAGGAAGCCGTCTTCCTGCCTATCTTGCTGACATTGATGGAGTCATAGTCCGGGCCAGGTTTGAAGGGAGGGCGGGAGGAAGGAAGGGCGGGAAGGAGGGCGGGCGGGAGGGAGACATATCAAGAAAAGAGGAAGGAAAGAGGGGGATAGGCCGCGGCAGATATTTGTCTATTACTCATTAGTCTTGTTGCCTACATCGATTTTACAGCAAAGCCTCCATCGCGGCACTTCCATGCACTGTCGCCAGGCTTCGGGAAAGGGTTCCGGCCGCCGCTCTCTCCCTCCCGCCCTCCGATCCTCCGTGCCCGCCCCCCCGTCCCTGGATGATCCTCTTCCATCAGCCTCAAGGCAGCGCGGACGATCGAGAAACAGGAAGGGAGGAGGAAACGGGCCCAGAAATCGGGGAGGAAAGTGCATCTACCCTTGCAGCAGCTTGCGGGGTCACACGTGTCTTGCTGCCTTCTCCTCCCTCCTCCTCCTTCTCCTCAACCTCCTCATTCCTTCCATTGTCATCGTCTCGCTCCCCATCCCCGCCCTCCCTCTCCTCCGCCTTCCATATGATGATCAGCGACGTCCTCCTCGCCCGGGCCATGGCCGCGGTTGACGGGGCGGACGAGACGGAAAAGACGGAGGAAGCGGAGGAGGAGGAGGAGGAGGACGAGGGAGGCATAATCTTATGCAGCAAGGCAAGAATGTTGATCGATTTGAGCCTGGCCTTCTACTCAAGCCCCCTTTCAGCCCCACCTACACTCCCCGTAAGACAGCGCCGGGGGGTGGGGGGTGTTGAGGGAAGGCAGTGGCATGGGCGGGCGGTGGACGCAGGGGGGGGAGCCAGGACGCGTGGGAGGCATAAAAACGGGGGGGGAGGGGACGAAGGGAACGAGGGAGTCGGTGGAGGGAACAGGCGCAAGGCAGTTATGCTGGCAGTCTTTGAAGTCACCCTTTACTTCCTTCCCCATTCTTCTCTTCCTCCCTCGACCCGTAGCTTGCGCATCGAGCTGCCTGCCTCCGGCACCTCCCATTGCTCTCCTTCCTGATCCATCGGTTCCCCGCCGTCCTCCTTCATTGCGACCCTGGGCAGGGAAAGACGCCCCTCCATTTTCTGTGTGAGGGAGGAAGGGAGGGAGGGAGGGAGGGGGGGGGGGAAGAAAGGGAGGCTGCCCTCGCGCTTGCATTGCGAGAAGGCATTGAGGCCTTATGGATCAGGGATAAGGAGGGAAGAACCCCCCAGGAGCTAGCTGAGGAGGTAAGGGGAGGAAAGAGGGAGAGAGCGACCTGGAGGGGAAGGAGGGGAAGGGCGGGCGATGAAGGGCGTTGCAAGCGTTGCGAGTGAATCTCAAGCCGTGCAAGGTTTTCCTCCTTTTCATTACCTCGCTCCCCCCCTCCTCCCTTCCTCCCTCCCTCTCTCCCCCCTCCCTTTTTCCCTCCAGCCCTCGGTGTCCTTGGTTCTGTACACGGCTGGTATTCAGTATCAGACACTGCAGGCGCAGCTGGGATGGGAAGGAAAAAGGGAGGGAGGAAGCAAGGAAGGGAGGGAGGGAGGGAGGGAGGGAGGGAAAAAGGGCGCAGAAGACAGCAGGTTTTGCCAACGAAGCGTGGTTGTGCTCGGGGACGATGCGGCAGGTGGGAAGGAGCGCATGGAGGAGGAAGAAAGGGAAAAGAGAGAGAGTGGGAGAGGTGTCAGAGAAGAGGAGGGACGGGCTCTTTTGTTGATACTGAGAGGCTCTTCACTTCCTCTTCTCACTCCAGGCATCGCATACCTGCGCTCCCTCCTCCTCCCTCCTGGGGCCTGTGCCCCCTCCGCCTCCTCGGACTGTATCACCCACGACATTGTCCTCCTTCCTCCCTCTTGCCCTTCCTCACCCCGCCTCGAGACCTCCGGGGGAGGGAGGGAGCGGGACCTCCAGTCCCCAGTAAGGGAAGTGATGAGGCGGGAAGAGGAGGGAAGTGGAGGGGATGAAGGGGGGGAGGAGGGGAAGGAGGGGGAGGATTCTGGGGAGGAGGAAGGGGCGTGTTGCACGGCCCTTCTAGGCCAGTCGTTGTGGTGGATGGCCTCCCTCATGGGAGTGGACGGGAGTGATGAGGAAGGAAGGCAAACGGAGAGAGTGGAAAGCGTATCAGCGGATACGAATCCCAAAGTGGTGAGGCGCGACGGAAGTAAATTCGGGGAGCGGGGGAGGGAGGAAGAGGGATTGGGCGTCAGCGCTGTCCCAGTGCCTCTCTGACCAAACTTGGACTCTCATCCACCACGTCGGTGTCCTCTCCCTCTCTCTCCCTCCCTCCCTCCCTCCCTCCCTCCCTCCCTCCCTGATTCCTTCACTCCCTCCCTCCCTCCCTTTTCCCCTACAGGACATCCCTCCCTTCTTCGCCAAAACGCGTCGCTTCCATTCCCCTTCCTTGTCACAGCATGTGGGGGGGAACGGGGAGGAGGGCGGGAGGGAAGTCGGGAGGGAGGAAGCGGTCCGTATGCACACATACGGACCAAAGAGCTACGCGGCCTTGTCGATGCTGGGGCCCCGGGTGAGGAGGAAGTGGGGGAAGAGAGGGGAGGAAGGGAGGGAGGAAGGGAGGGAGGAAAGAGATGTGTAGGAGGATAAAGGGTGAGGTCCTACCGGTATTTGTAGCAGGGAATCATCCATATCAACCTCTCCGTTTCCTCCTCTTTCTTCCTCTCCCTTTCCTCCTCCCTCCTCCTCCTCCTCGTCGCGTCTCCCTCCCAATCCCTCCTCTCCATCCTCATCCCTCCTTCCCCCCTCATCCCTCCTGCCCTCCTCATCCCTCTCCAAAGGCCTACACAGGACATCCCTCCCCCCTCTTCCTCCTTCCCCTCTCCCTCCATCAATCTCGCACCGACCTCCTCTCCTCCCTCCGCCGCTACCTTCCTCTCCTCAATCTGGCGTCTGCGCCCGGCGGCCAGGGAGGAAGGTAGGAAGGGGGAGAGAGAAAGAGAGGGGAGGAATAATTAACCTGATAAGTATATGAGTGGTGCATATTTCGATGCTTGGAGGGCAGGATGGACGTGCAGCGTTGACGAGTCGGAAAGAGGGAGGGAGAGATGGAGGGAGAGAGGGAGGGAGGGAGGAAGGGGGGGCAGTAGATTGTCAGATATGGGCCAGCACGGTCTGGAATCCGACCTCCAGGGGGAAGAGGGATGGTGTCCAGGAAGAGGGTAGGGGAGTAGAGGAGGGCGACCGCCAACCACGCGACGGAGCTCGGTGGAAGTAACGGAGGAAACATCAGGGAGAGGACCCGGCACATACCTGGGCTCGACCTCCCTTTCCAACTCATCCCCCTCCCTCCCTCC